GAAGTTAAGCAAGGAGAATTTAAGAAAGCAAGCCTTGCTCAAATTCCAAACTATGTCTAAAAGTCGTCATAATTTTCAAAATAATCTTGTCAAAAATACAAACAGTTATTTAATGATGGGGTCATTTAATAAATACTCTTTTCTAAGATGGTATCATTCATTCATACAAAATATATTTTATTGAACCACTCACTGGTTTTCAATTCTTGTAACTGGGTACTTTAAAAAAGTTTTTGACACAATCGATCACTCACTTCTTAATAAATGAGGAAAGTGAAGCTCAGCAAACAAAAGTAATTTATTCAAGATTATAAAAACTAGTAAGTACAAAGAAGGGGTTAGATTTTTGATATGTCTAATTCCAAATCCTATGCTTAAGGAAGCCCCACAAACCTATAGCCAAAAAGTCTAACCAGGAATAGATCAACTCAAATGGACACATGCATTTAAATTAAAAACTATACTGAATGTTTTTGAACTTTTCCCCACCTGTATTCATTAAAAATACTTGTGGAAATGCATGATAGTATCTCAGCAATATATGTAGACCTAACTGGATGACATTTATTCAGTAAATACTTATTGAATACCTACAATGGAAACACATTCATACCTTATTTACATAATTCTATATGAGGATCTTGACATTTAATAGAAATGGAAGCTTCAGGATTTCCTAAATGCACAAACATACTCAGACATTAATAATTAAAAAAAAGAAAAACAGAGAGGGCTGGGGTTGTGGCTCAGTGGTAGAGCGCTTACCTAGCATATGTGACGCCCTAGGTTTGATTCTCAGCACCACATATAAATAAATAAAAAAATTCATCAACAACTAATAAAAATGGCAAAAAAAAAGAAAGAAACAACAACAACAACAAAAAAGAAACCAGAATGAAAGTATATGATATCTGAAGTTAGAATCTTAACTCAATTTACAGTCCATACACACAAAGACACACACACCCCATTTGGACACATAAACTTGGAGAAATACTTAACCTCACTGTAAACCAGCCTTGGTATCTTTTTAGTAAAATGGGTATGACACACATCTCAGAGTATGATAATAAAAATACTTATAAATTATAGTTAATTTAAAGAGCCCTATATGGCTAGTGGTTACCATATTAGACTGTATAGATCTAGAACAAATCCTAGCACATAATATTTAATCCTCAACTTTACTAGCAGATCAACTTAACTAAAATAGCATAACAAAGAATCCCCTACAGGAAGCTAACTTGTACCAATTACAATGAAACAGCAATAGCAGCATGAAAACAAAAATCATTTATTAATCAATTTTATGTGCTATACATTATGTAAAAAGCTTTACATGACTACCTCATTTTAATCTGTATAATAAATAATTATATGGAGTACTACTATCTTGTGAATATGGAAATCAGGCTTAGAATTTGTCCAAAGACCTATAGTTAGCAAGTCAGTAAGCAAATATTCAACCCTGGCAGCCTAATTCCAAAGACTGTGCTCTTAACCACAATGCTAAATTGTCTTCCACTTTACAGAACCAGTTTACTTAAGATTCACTACATAATCTAGTAAATGTCCTCCCATCAAACATCACTCTCACATACACACACAGTGATTAGACCTCAAATAATTTAAACACATAGTTATGCATGATAACTGGCTAACTCAAAATAAGTCTCATACACCAACTGATATGACCATGTAAATGTACTAAACTTAGTGACTTTTTACTTATTTGGAAGACTGACAAAACTATCACCTCTCTCCTAGAATAAAATGACTACAGTATAAATTCATATTTAAAAACTAAAAATATATTTTGATAAAACAATAGGGGAGCAAGGATTGGACCTATGGTAGAAGCACAAGGCAGAAGTTATCAATATTTACTAGAACTCCACAACAGTTTATAAGGGATATTTATTTGTTAAGACATCAAACATGTCTGCTAGGAGAAGATTAATAGGATTCACTGCATTTGCATGAAGCATACAGTCCCTCTTATCTCAATTCTAAAAGGAGCTTAAYTCACTTAATGTCTGCAGCATTTAATGACAAAGTGTTTATTATTGTGCCCAAAGCTGGAATTCTTATTTCAGTTCTGACTGATAAGTTGGAGGAACATTTCAACAGGGAGCCACAGCATACTCCTTGCTGAATACCAAGGGAAATTCTGGGTGGCAGGAAAGCTAATATCTAACCAATTTCCCTCTCTCAAGAAGGAATAAACAAGAAATGACCACTGACTTTTCACCACATCAAAACAATGTATGTGGGCTGGGGTTGTGGCTCAGCAGTACTGAGCGCTTGCCTAGCATATGCAAGGCCCTGGGTTTGATATTCAGCACCACATAAAAAATAAATAAAAGGTATTGTGTCCAACTACAACTAAAAAATAAATGTTTAAAAAATGCATGTAAAATTCTTTCTTCCTCTCAATCCATCATGTCTCTAGCTTCTCTTCAAACTTCATTATCATTTAGATTGCAAGCCCTTGGTCAAAACTAGCACTGGGGGTGCTGGGATTGTGGCTCAACGGTAGGGTGCTTGCCTGGCACGTTCGAGGCCCTGGGTTTGATCCTCAGCACCACATAAAAATAAATAAATAAAATAGATTGTGTTCAACTACAATAAWAAAAAAAAAAAACTAGCACTGGGAGAGATTCTACGTACTGAAAAGTTGTTCAGTATTATTAGGCGTGGAGAATAAACTGCTTGAAACATGTGGAGTAAGTAACTTTATAAAAAACATAACATGCATATTGTTTGGATTCTACATAACTCAGTTTACATGATCGTGTATGAAAACCAAAACCATGAACATCACTAGTGTTCTAGAAACTACTAAGAAACAAAAAAGGCAATCTTAAGGCAAGAGTCAAATAATTTAGTTATTAGTCATTAATGTAAATGTAGTTCAGTCTGACCTGCTGTGTGACCTGAACCAGTCTCTTTGCCACTTTATGCTTTTCACTTCATATCAGCAATAGAGAATTAACTACTATCTGTCTCAGAAGAATTGTTGATTAAATTATTAAGCAAAATGCTGTGGGCAAAAGTCATATGAATGTTAAATATTATGATTTACAAGCATTCATCTTCCTAGCACTCCTGTGGGGCTGGGAAGTTATCTTGATATCATAGATGAGTAAACAAGCGGGGGTGTGTGTGGGGGGGGGTAAGGTCATATGATAAGCCTCTATTTACTTATTCCCTGTGGGAAGGGAACAACACACACCTTTAGTAATAATATGAACTTTCTTGGCACATCCTACACAACCTTTTAATGCATTTAATCCTTAATGTTGCATCTTTTTAACACGATGTCAACAGAACTGATAAAGCTCTAAGAGAACAAGGCTAAAATAAGTGAGGGAACAATTCCCTATGCTTTGGCAAAAACAATCATAAAAAGACACAGATAAATAATCTTAAAATGAAAAAATGCACTATTTACCTCCACTGCCATTTAAGAAATTAAGAAAAATGATTTGCTACAGAAACACTTTCAAAGAAATTTTGGCAATTTTTTAGAAAATTAAACACATTCAATGTATGAACTAGCAATCACACTTTTTGGTGTAAATTTATCCAAAGGCATTGAAAATTTACATCCAAGCAAAATCTAAACATGGATGTTCACAATAGCGTTAATCGTAATTGCCAAAACTTGGAAGCAACCAAGATGTCCTTCAGCAKTGAGTGGATAAATAAACTGTATTACATCTAGACAATGGAATATTATTAAGTGCTAAAAAGAAATGAGCTATTAAGGGCTGGGGTTTTGGCTCAGAGGTAGAGCACTTGCCTAGCATGTGCGAGGCCCTGGGTTCGATCCTCAGCAACACATAAAATAAATAAATAAAATAAAGATATTTAAAAAAATGAGTTATTGAGCCATAAAAAGAGAAACTTTGACTGCACATTACTAAGTGAAATAAGCTTATCTGAAAGGTTACTTAAGGTATGATTTCAACTACATGACATTCAGGAAAAGGCACAACTACAGAAAGACTAAAAAGATCAGTGGTTGTCAGAGGTTGAGCGGGTAGAGAGGGATGAATAGGTAGAGCATGGAGGTTTCTCACGGCATTGAAAACAATGCTGGGTTGTGGCTCAGCAGTAGAGCACTTGGCTAGCACCTTCGAGGCCCTGGGTTCGATTCTCAGCACCACATAAAAATAAATAAAGGTATTGTATCCAACTACAATTAAAAAAAAGAAAAGAAAAAAGAAAACACTCGGTATGAAACTATAATGATGGGTACAGGTCATTACACATTTGTCCAAACCCACAGAATGTACAACACCAAGAGTGAAGCCTAATCTAAACTATGATTCTTGGGTGTCAATATAGGTTCATAAACTATAACAAATGTACCACTCTGATAAATGCTAACAATTCTGGATGCTATAAATATGTGTATGAGTGGAGTTTATATGGGAAATCTTTGTATTTTTCTCTTAATTTTGTTGTGACCCTACAACTGTTCAAAAAATAAATAAAACAAAATCTTTAGGAAGGAAAAAAGTTGTCCTTCATGTTAAAAGACTGTTATATTAATGTGCTCCAACCAAATTCTTTGTGAATGTACATTTGCCTTCTAGGCATTAATTAGCAACTGCAAAAAAAAAAGAAAAAGAAAAAAATTCAAAGGGCCAAAACATGAGTGACTAGCAGTGGAAAGGTTCAGGAGGGTTGAAAAGGGCAAAAAGACTGCTCATGTCTAATAGGACTATAAGAAAAGTACAGACAGCTGGCACAGTAGCACATGCCTATAATCTCAGTGACCTGGAAAGCTGAGGCAGGAAGATCACAAGTTTGAGGCCAGACTCAGCAACTTAGTAAGACCCTGCCTCAAAATAAAAAATAAAAAGGGCTAAGAATGTAGCTCAGTGGTAAAGTGCCCCTGAGTTCAACTCCCAGTATCTAAAAGAAAAAAGACAAAGGAAGTACAGATGATTTTTCTGCTCTCATCTAAGGCTGACAGCTATATTGCTTACCCGACTCCGAAGACAGTCAGCCAGGTTTCGGCGTGTGAAATTAGCTGCTGCTGTCGGAGACAACTCATATCCTGGTACAGAGATAAAGATTCATACTTAAAGTGAAGCAAAGAATAACAGTGCCTATTCTTAAAGTCCACTATTTTTTTTTAAATATATTTAGAGTATATAATGTACATAGACTGGGGTTCGGGCACAATCCTACTTCTAGTCCCTATTTTCATGTAACAGCTATGAAATAGTTGGTTAGTACTGACAGCTATTTCCTGGTCCCAAATAGGATCAGAGTTGACTGTTCAAACTGATCAAATTCATAGTCTGGCTTAAGATATTAATTCATCGACAGACTGTAGTTTTCTATTCAGAAAGAAAGGGAAACAAACACATAGATATTGGAAAAGAAAGAAAAGTGGGTGGGAAGGGAGAGAGAAAAAGGGAAAGAAAGTCAGTCTTGAGATGCTAATTTTTTCAGTAATTTAAAAAAGAATGCTGGGAGAAAAGAAGTTGAAAGTTAGGGCAGTCTCAGAGTCATACGTTATAAAAAAGATACCATTGTTATTATTTGCAATATTATTATTATCAAGCCCAAGGGCACTCTACCATTGAACTACATCCCCAGTCATTCTTAAATTTTTTAAAATTTTGAGACAGAGTCTCACTAAGTTGCCCAGGCTGGCCTCAAGCTAATGATCTTCTTGCCTCAGCCTTCTGAGTGTGCCACCACACCTGGCTTAAAAAATATATAACTTTATTAAGAGTGTAATATGATTTTCAAAAAAGTATAAGTCATAGAAAAAGAATGTTTCCATCACTCTACAATATTTTTAAAAATAGAGTATCTCAAATGTAAAACCTCTTAAAAAAAAAGTTGTAATGCCAACAAGCACACAATCTGAGGAATAATATCAACTGTGCATTTAATAATGCATTCACTTTGGAACTTAACTCCCCAGTAAAATCAGACACGTGCCAAATGGTACAAGAAAAATCTACAAGTCAGTGGCCCTGCATGTAAAATATCAGTTCAGTTCTAGAAAGTCAAGGGTCATATGTTTTCTCTCATGTGTGGAAGCTAGAGAGAAATAAAGGAAAAAAAAAGGGTAGAGGTGTCTCATAAAAACAGAATGGTATGTGCACACAGTATAATAATATAATTTGGTTAATTGTGTTCCCTAGTAATTCCCTTTCTCTCTCCTCCTCCCTGTCCTCCTCCTTCTCCCAGCACAGCCTGTAAAATACTGCTATACTTACTATACTTCATAACCATTATCAGACTCCCTCAGCTTAAACATGCTTAAACCTAAGTACCAACAAGGCACAATCGAACACACCTGTAATCCTAGCTATTTAAGAGGCTGAGGTAGGAGAATTGAAAAATAAAGGCCAGCCTTTGCATTTTAATAAAATCTGCCTCAAAATAGGGATGTAACTCAGTACATAAAGGATCCCTGGGTTCAACCCATAGTAACACAAAAACAAACAAAACATTTAAAAACTTAAGTATTATGTGCTTTTGGTTTCTGAATGGCAGGGACTGAGCTTTGTTCATCTTTGAATTCTGCACAGTACTAAGCACAGTACTTAACATGGATGAGACCCTTAAAAATATTTATGGAATTGGATGTATAATGCTAAATATGCTGCCCAAAAAACTATATGAATGAATCTTTTTCAGTCATTTTACATATGTAAAATAAGCTCTTAATTTGAATATAATTACATATGCAAAATGTAATTTTACAGTGTAGAAAATAACAATGTTATTGAACTGTAAAGTGGATAACTGGAAATAAGATTTTCTCTACCAGAGCACCACTACAAGCTTTCCTGAACTAGAAGACTAGTAGCTAGTGTTGTTAGTGCTTGTTAACTCCAGAGAAAGCTTACAAAATATCTCATAATGTCCTTATTATCTCTGTAGACAGAAACCTAACAGAAATATAAGGTAGAACCTTTAAAGTACAGTAAATGCTTATAATCACACAGAACTTTAAGTTAACAACACATTTCATATGTATTATTCCTTAATATAATATAATGGGATAAGGAAAATAAAGGCCTATAGAAGATAAATGACTTGTCACATAGACAATAGTAAGGCCAAAAATATTGGGGTGGGRGGAGAGAAAATAGTAAAGTCAAGTTTTATTTAGGTCTTTTAGCTCTGAGATTAATATATACTTCAGCTCAAATCACATTCTTCAAAATATCTGACACTAAAAAAATTTGATATTAGCTGGATGTGGGAGGCACACACCTATAAACCTAGTGACTGGAGAGGCCAAGGCAGGAACATAGCAAGTCTAAGGCCAACCTTGGCCTCTTAGCAAGACCCTGTCTTAAAATAAAAAGGGTTGGAGAGGTAGCTCAGTAGTAGAATGTCTATGTGTCTGATTCCCAGTTATCACACAAAAAAGTTAAAATGAGGTTATTAGGGTGGGCCTTAATCCAATATGACTGGTGTCCTTTTTATAAGAAGAGAACATTTGGACAATTAACACAGAGGGAATATCATGTGAGGTACAGGGAGAAGATGGCCATCTGTAGGCCAAGAATAAAGACCTCAGTAGATAGAAGAAATCACCACTGTAGACATCTGAATTTTGGACTTCTAGCCTCCAGATCTATGGGAAATTTTTCTGCTGCTTAAGCCAGTTTGTGGTACTTTGTTACGGCAGCCCTAGCAATCTAATACACCAAACAAAGCTATACTCTGAGTCTTACCCACCATTTCGCATCTTATAAAGTTGTACATTTTTCTGAATATATTCTGCAAACTGTACAGTGTCTCCAGCCTCTCCAACACACAGGAGTAAGATTTTTTCACTCATCTTAAACATCTTGTCATGATCTGGTCAAAGAAAAAATTCATATTAGAAATTACCTTAACATAAATTGACAGCTAATATATATGCATCACTATAAACAGGTTTATTAGTTAACTATATTGAATAATTTTATTAATCACTGTCTTTAGAAGATTTCAATAGGAAATTATTAATTTCTCTCTTTCATTCTCCATGTTAAACCACATACAACTTTATTAATGTCCATTTCAGTTGAAAAATACAGATGAAATGTGACAATTTAAAATAAAATTTGGCTGGGCACAGTGGCGCACACCTGTAATCCCAGGGGCTCAGGAGGCTGAGGCAGGAGTATCATGAGTTCAAAGCCAGCCTCAGCAATTTAGCAAGGTCTTAAAACTTTGTTAGACCCTGTCTCAAAATAAAAAGTAAAAAAAAAAAAAGGACTGGAGATGTGGCTCAGTGGTTAAGCACTAGTAGAACCCTAGTACTAAAAATAAGATAAATAAATAATAAAAYAAAATCCAAAATGGGATGTTCAGGTGAGGTAGTGCACACCTACAATCCCAGTGACTTGAGAGGCTTGAGGTAGGAGGATTGCAAGTTCAAGGCAAGCCTCAACAACTCCAAGGAGGTCCTAAGCAACTTAGTGAGACCTAGTCTTAAAATAAAAATAAATAAATAAATAAATATAGCTTAGTGGTAAAGCTCTGCTGAGTTCGATCCCCAGTACATAATAACAACAATAACAATAAAAATAATACAATTTGTAGATGGTATAGTTCAGTGGTAGTGCACATACTTCGATTATCTTTAGTCTCATGATCACAAAGCTGGAAAATGTTTCTACAAATATAAATGTAATTTATTGTACTTATACAAAAGTATATATGAAAAGGACCAGTGGTACAATTAAAATTAAGGAATCTCCTCAAGAAAGAAGAAAAAAATGAGCTGGGAATATAAATCACTTTAGAAAGTAAAGCAACTCCATTTACAAAGCAAAAAAAGAGAACTGGTTGCCAAAGCAAATATTCTAACAGTAAGCTATTTAAAATACCTCACAAAAATCCTAATACTCTAACCTTATCTAGCTGAACCAGACTCCTTCAGATTAGATAGATAAATATTCAGATCACAATTACTGCCTAAGGAAGAAAACTCCATATTCAGTCAGTAGCTTCAGAAAAAGACTAAATCTTCCTATCTTACCCTCACTTTCACTTTTCATTTTTCAAATAATGCTGAATAATCTTCCCTGGGAGACATGTTTCCTGTATGAAAGCTTTTGAAATATCAAAATCTCTTAATAGGATTTAAAGAATAAATGCCACTATCAAATACTTTACAAGTGTTGGAGAGTTGTAGATACTAGTAATATGGACTTTGAGGGGAAAATCCACATAAAATGTGTCTGTAGATAATATCTGTTTGCCTTAAAAACTTAAACAAACACACTTTTGTTATTCAAGCTACAGATTTAAAACTGCTAGTTTGCAAACTTATTTATAAAATATTCACTTTATGCAAAGAAAAAGGACCAGAAGGGTACGTTCTAAGTTCTTGCCAGTGGAAAGAATTTTTATTTCCTTCTTTCCGATTACCAGTGTTTCCTAAATTACTATACTTAATATGCACCAATTTGTAATAAAACATTATTCAATAAGTTTGTACTATTGTTATAAGAAAAAAGATGTGCTTATTTTTTGGAGGGGGAATGAGTTTATAAAGAATTTATGTCACATTTAGAAGAAAAAGATAAAATTCTAGGCAGCCACTGAATTTTGAAATAAACTTAATACAAGACCAAATCTTTTTTTAAACAGTGAGCATGTCCACTGAATAGTGGAGGATGATACAAAAACACAGGTTAACAGATACTAATGTTCTCTGTTGTATAAGAAACTGCCTATACAGCCCTAGGGGTATGCGTGTCCTTGATAAGGAATTTACAAGATCCACATACAGGAAACAAATGAACAATGAAATGAACAATGTATAACATTATATAAAGCCAACTGGACTAGATTTCCACTGTGATCTGGACCCAATACTCTGAACTTGGGCGAATCATTTGCCTCTCTAAGCTCCAGTTGCTAAATGGTAAGAAAAGGAGGTAAGGAAAACTGTATTGAATTCTAAACATATATTATACATGTTTATACTAATATACTCAGTGTTAGGTAATGTAGTTCAAATTATATATGCTATTAGAATTCAGAATCAAGAGTTCTGAGTGGGCTGGAGTACTCTGAGTAACTTAAAAGTAATTCTGGGCTGGGGTCATGGCTCGGTGGTGGTAGAGCACTCGCCTAGCACGTGTAATACCCTGGGTTCGATCCTCAGCACTAGATAAAAATAAATAAATAAAATAAAGGTATTGTATCCATCTACAACTAAAAAAATAAATTAAAAAAAAAAAAGTAATTCTATAAAGGCCAAGAGAAAAAAGGCACGAAATGCAGCATGCTGCATAACCAAACCCAGAGTGACACCATTTAACTTTAATAAGCAGTCAATCTTCGGGAAATGTCTTCTCTCCAGTATCAAAATATTTAAACTGAGTGGTACATGATGGTACACGCCTGTAATCCCATAACTCAGGAGACTGAGGCAAGAGGATCCAAAGTTAGCAAGAAACTATCTCAAAATGAAAAACAAAAAAGTTTCAAAAGATTACTGCTTTTCAGTATTTTATTCTACACAATTTCTTTATGAAATGGTTAGGGGAAGTTCTCAATAAAATTCTAAAATCTCTTATCTTTTTTAAAAATTTAAGACACGGTCTGGCTACATTGCCCAAGCTGGGCTTGAACTTGTGATACTCCTACCTCAGCCTCCTGAGTGGCTAGAATTACAGACYGTTGCCACCATGCCCAGCCTTTCATAAAATTTTTATAGCAGAAAAGACTAAAGGGAAAATGAGAGTTGAGTGCAATTATTTTCTACTATATTTTGAGAACTCAAATTCTCTTTCTCTCAAACCATACTGATTTTTCTTTTGTGTGAATAGACAGAATTCACTCTTAGGATTTACTCTTTGAACTAATTTTAAAAGTAATTTAATATTAACTAGTAATACTTCTTTTCTTTTTTTTTTTTTTAATTTTTAATATTTATTTTTTAGTTCTCGGCGGACACAACATTTTTGTTGGTATGTGGTGCTGAGGATCGAACCYGGGCCGCATGCATTCCAGGCGAGCGCGCTACCGCTTGAGCCACATCCCCAGCCCGTAATACTTCTTTTCTAATACAAAATCATTTTATAGTATTTGTTCCTTGTTTTCTTCTTAATATTTTGTTCCTTCTATGGATTATATCTAATAAGTCGCACCCCCTATAATAACTAGAAGTACTGTGCACATAAGTGTGCTTTAAGTACAATCTACTACTCAAAATGATTTTATATACATTATGGGATTAAACAGAAAACCTGTAAAGGTATAGACCTGGTCATTGCTTTACCTAGGTACTACTTCATGCTCAAATCACTTTTTTTTTCACAATATCTTTTTATTTTATTTTTATGGGGTGCTTAGGATTGAACCCAGTGCCTTGAGCATGCCAGACGAGCGCGCTACCACTTGAGCCACAACCCCAGCCCTCAAGTCACTTTTTAAATCAAATGCCTCAATATTCAAAATAATGAGCTAATTTACTCTCAAAACAAATTTACTCCTTTGGAGCCTGGTTTACAAACAGAACTAACTACCAACTAACTACAGAATTTCATAAAGTAATCGCACTTAGGAACAATCCCTATCATAGATGTTTAATGAACCAATTAAACATCCTTTCTTCCTCAGAAAGGACAGAACTCGGGCTGGAGTTGTGGTTCAGTATCAGAGCACTCACCTAGCACTTGTGGGGCACTGGGTTTGATCCTTAGCACCATATAAAAAAATAAATAAATAAAATAAAATAAAGGTATGCTATCCATCTACAACTACAAAAGAAAAAAAAAAAAAAAAAAGACAAGAATTCAAGCAAAGTCCTTCAGAATGCCTTCCATTTTCCTGGATGGGATCACAGTGTGACAACCAAATAGATRCCTTTCTCTTTACAAAAACAGAAGCAGATTCCTTTTTGCCTTTGTTCACATCCTTCAGGAAATCCCAAATGAAATATTTTTCCTTAAACCCAAGATGGACTGTCACCTGCCCTCAAAACTTTTCCTAATCTCTACAAACAGAATCTCTTCTTCTTCATTATCTAACAATTCTTATTCCTCTGCATTACCTGAGAAGTTTGATTGTACCTGTCTTAAGACACATCACTTCCTAAATTGTGTCACAATTATCTGTACACATATCTAAATTGTAACTTCTTTGATGACATCTTATTTTCTTTGCATCCCCTCCCCTCAGCACTGTAAAGTGCACACAATGCCCCAAAACTATTTGTCAAATGAACTTTAAGTCATCTGACCCAAAGTATACTTTTTCAACAGTAGCACATCTATGATGAATAATGAAAACACCCTTGGACTCTGCAGATCAACAACCAAAAGCTTTTTAAAATTTTGTATTGAGTACTTATTATAGAGAGTACGGGATAGTTGTTATGAGTAAAAGGTCTGGATTTAGACTGTACATTGAACTGCCATTTAAAACCATAAGCAAATCTCTTAAACTTTGTGCCTCAAATAACATGCAAAGTGAGGATATAATAGTGCCCATCAAAAAAGGATAAATGAATTAAAGTAAATCGCTTAACAGGGCACCAGATACATTATGTGTTTAGCATTATTACTATTAAATATCTGTCAAATGTTAAGCRTTTGCACATAACTCATTAACTCAATTCTCCCAACAAGTTTCGAGCTGGTTATTACTTATCTAACAGATGAGTAAATCTGGGCACTGCAAAATAACTTGTACAAAGCATTAACTCAAAAAGAGACAGGGTACTAGTTTCCAAACGCCAATAACTACTTAACTATAAGGAAAACCTGGAAGCCAGAGAAAACCGAAAAAGGAAGATCGATGCTGAGCCACAATAAGATACGAGAGACGAAGGGAAATGCCAAGTCTCTGGTTCCACAGTCTCACTCTGCCCAGGATCCCATCTTAGGCTGCCCGGAAACTAACTTCATTACTAGCGATAACCGAAACTTTAGAAATTCGGGGTTCTACGGAGCCTAGAGCTGGGCAGGCGCTTCAATTCTTACAAATCTAATTCCCTTAGGTAACTCTCACCTAGTATGAAGCATTTAGTGAAGCCAAAGGACAGCACTGACTCACGAGCTAATGCCAGATCCCTTGGCTTGACAGTCTCCTCGGTTCTAAAAAACTGTAGAGTAGCCCAGGTTCCGCCTCCCAGACTTCCCCGGGACTTATCCAACACCCGCATGAACTCCCTCCCGCTCCACCACCAAGGCCCGAACGGGCCTCCCGTGCTTCCTCTCACCGTCCTTCATCTGGACAATATTGCTAGCGGCCACCCGGTCGGAGGCGACAAGAACATAGTCGGGGCCCTGGATGCCAATGAGGTACTCCATGGTGGCGGAGGGCTGGGGGCCGCACGTTGGACAGGACTCGGAACTTGCCGGTTTCCCCGCCTCACTGGTGAGACAGCACTGCCCAGCGAACCTCTGCGCGACGCTGGCGCTCTCGGATGACGTAACTATCGCGAGAGGTTGGAAAGGGGCGTGGCGTTGAGAGCATTACACTGCGCCTGCCTCTGGGACTGTCCTTGATTCCGCCAATGGTCGCTGGGTTAACACCCTGCTTTTTATCTGCAAATCTGAATTTTAAAAAATCAGTTTACTGTATGTAAAGAGCCAAGCACTTGTGGCTGCCCAAAGGTGATAGTTCCTCAGKTTTCTCTTTCTCTTCTTCTTTGCTGGGTAAAAAAAAAATCTCTCCGGGACCCTTTCCCTGCAAACCAGATTGGAGAAAAGTTAAGAAGAGCCCTAATTACATCCGTCACAAAAATAATATATGATTGCATTACAGATATAAGTTGAGGGGCTGGGGTTGTGGCTCAGTTGGTAGAGCATTTGCCTTGCACATATGAGGCACTGGGTTCSATCCTCAGCACCACATAAAAATAAATGAATAAAGATTGTGTATGTCTACCACTAAAAAAAATACTAAAAAAAAAAAAAAAAAAAAAAAAAGATATAAGTTAAGGGGCTGAAGTTGTGGCTCAGCGGAAGAGCGCTTGCCTAGCACGTGTGGGGGCCCTGGGTTCCATCCTCAGCACCACATAAGAAAAAGTAAACAAAGGTGTTTGTCCATCTACAACTAAACAAAAATATTTTTTAAAGAATCTCTCATTACATAAGATTACAAATCTATATGGTGAAATTCGTTCTAATACTCATATACAAACTGGGGTGTTTCAGTATATGAAATAGTTGATATCTGGAACTTAAAAGCCATTCCTAAACTGGTGCAGCAGCTTGTGCCTGTAACCCCAGCTACTTGGGAAGCTGAGGCCAAAGGATCACTTGGGCCCCTCAAGCTTCTGAAACCATCCTTAGCAATATGTTGATACTCTGTCTCCAAAAACAAACACAAAAGAAAGGTTAAGAAAAGCAATCTGCAAAAGAAGAAACAAAAATGGCCAAGAAACCTGAAAAAAATCCTCAATCTTGATAGTAATTGGCAAAATGACAAATAAATAAACAATAAGAAAATGTAAATTGGTTGTAAGATTATAATCATATAAAATAAATTTTAAGATATCTAATAGTCCTTACAAAGGACTATTGGATATCTTAAAATTTAGTGTCTGGAGTTGTGGCTCAGTGATTGAGTGCTCACCTAGCATGCTACATGCCTTGGGTTGAATTCCTAGCACTCAAAAAATATATATTATTTTAATAATTTTATGTCTTTGGATCTTATGTATCCAAAGACATTTGCATAAATATCCCAAATTTTGTGTACAGAGATACTGTTGCAGCACTGCAAGAGCAACAAAACAGGGATCAAGTGACATGTCTAAATACAAATGTTATATAAATGATGGTACACTCATAAATGGAATATTATACAATGAAAATAAATGAAATGAAGCTAAATATACATACATATTCTATGGCCCAAGATATACTAAAAATGAAAAAGCTTTCTTATCTGTAGCACAATGTGATTTTGTTAAAAAATGAATATTTGAGGGCTGGGGATATAGCTCAGTTGGTAGAGTACTTGCTTCACATGTACAAGGCCCTGGGTTCAATCCCCAGCACCAAAAAAAAAAAAAAAAAAAAAAAATTTTAAAAATGAATATTTGAATATGAGTGGAAAAATATCTATTTACAAATGTTCCAAGGTCAAATTATAACCATTCACTGGTAAGTATAATTTGAAGAGAGAATTTTTGTTTTTATTTTGTTCACATTTATTTTGTTTAAATGTATTTGTTTGTTTAATTATTTATTTTTAGTGCTGGAGATCCACCACAGGGCCTTGTAAACATGCACTTTACCACTGAGCTACACTCCCAGCTCATTACTTACAATATTTATTTATTTATTTGGGTATTAGAGATTGAACCCAGGGACATTTTACCACTGAGCTTCATCCCCAGACTTTTTATTTTTTATTTTGAGATAGGGTCTTGCTGAATTGTTGAGGCTCTTACTAAATTGTTGAGGCTGGCTTCAAACCTGTAATCCTCCTTTCTCATTCTCCTGAGTTGCTGSGATTGTTACTGAGATGCCACTGAACCTGACTACTTGTAATTTTTAAATTTAAAAAAATCCATCCCTTTCAATTTTGCAGCAATTATGATAATGGTAAAATATTCCATAACTAAGTTTTAGTACCCACAACTGATCTTCATTCCAGCTTGTTGAGAAATAGTGGGGGGGGGTTGCAATTGTATATCCTAACCCAACTATACAATTCATTTGTCTCTTCAGAAATTGAAGTACTCATTTCACTCTGAATGTTTCTTCTAGTTCTCTGCCCATAAAAGAACATAGAGCCTGAGGAGTTTGGAGCAGCCTATCTATCATGAGATGGATGCCAGGGGCAAGTGAGGTCATTAAGTCAACCATCCCACTATGAACACAGCTGCATTCATCATTCTAGAAAGATTCTTTTCTTAAACACCACTGGGAAAGCCTGGGCTACTGCCACCCACTCTCTCTTTCTCTGTCTGTTTTTTAGTTGCAAAAAGTACACAGTTATACAAAACACATACTTACACACACAAATAATATAGAAATGAGAAATTAAATATTTCTTTTCCTCCTACCAAAGATAAACCCGTCAAATGCCTGTGTYCTTCCAGAGCTTTTTCTTTGTACATATCAATAATCACTCATTCATTCGTTCATTAAAGCTAGAGAACTTCAGGGCTGGGGTTGTAGTTCAGAAGTACAGCACTCACCTAGCATGTGTGAGGCACTGGGTTTGATTCTCAGCAACACACACACACATACACACACGCACACACACAAATAAGTATTGTGTCCTTTTACAACTAAAAAATGCTAACTTCACTTAGCATTTTTTTCTTTTTTTATTAATTTATGACAGCAGAATGCATTACAATTCATATTACACATATAGARCACAAATTTCTCATATCTCTGGTTGTATAAAAAGTATATTAACACCAATTTGTGTCTTCATACATGTACTTTGGATAATGATGTCCATCACATTTCACCATCATTTCTAACCCCATGCTCCCTCCCTTCCCCTCCCACCCCTCTGCCCTATCTAGAGTTCATCTAATCCTCCCATGCTCTCCCTCCCTACACCACTATGAATCAGTCTCCTTATATCAGAGAACACATTTGGCATTTGGTGTTTTGGGATTGGCTTAACTTCACTTAGCATTATCTTCTCTAACTCCATCTATTTACCTGCAAATGCCATGATTTTACTCTCTTTTATTGCTAAGAAATATTCCATTGTGTAAATATGCCACATTTTAAATTTTTTAAAAATTTATAACTTTATTTCATTCATTTATTTTTATGTGGTGCTGAGGATCGAACCCAGGGCCCTGCACATTCTAGGCTCTACTGCTGAGCCACAATCCCAGCCTCCACCACATTTTTTTTAACTATTCATCTACTGAAAGGCATCAAGGTTGGTTCCACAGTTTAGCTATTGTGAATTGTGCTGCTATAAACATTGATGTGGCTGTGTCCCTGAAGTATGCTGTTTTTAAGTCCTTTGGGTATAGGCCGAGGAGAGAGAGATAGCTGGGTCAAATGGTGGTTCCATTCCCAATTTTTCAAGGAATCTCCATACTGCTTTCCATATTCACTGCACCAATTTGCAGTCCCACCAGCACTATATGAATGTACCTTTTCCCCACATCCTCACCAACACTTATTGTTGTTTGTATTCATAATAGTTGCCATTCTGACTGGAGTGAAATGAAATATTATAGTAGTTTTGATTTGTATTTCTCTAATTGCTAGTTATGATGAACATTTTTTTCATATATTTGTTGATAGATTGTATATCATCTTCTGAGAAGTGTCTGTTCAGGTTCTTGGCCCATGTATTGATTGGGTTATTTGTTTTTTTGGTGTTTAGCTTTTTGAGTTCTTTATATACCCTAGAGATTAGTGTTCTATCTAATGTATGAGGGGTAAAAATTTGCTCCTAAGATGTAGGCTCTCTATTCACCTCACAGATTGTTTCTTTTGCTGAGAAAAAACTTTCTAGTTTGAATCTATCCCATTCATTGATTCTTGATTTTAATTCTTACGATATAGGAATCTTATCATGGAAGTTGGGGCCTAATCCCACAAGATGGAAACTAGGGCCTACTTTTTCTTCTATTAGACAACAGGATCTCTGGTTTTATTYCTAGGTCCTTGATCCATTTTGAGTTAAGTTTTGTACATGATGAGAGATAGGAATTTAATTTCATTTTGTTGCATATGGATTTTTAAAAAGCTACAAAACTCTGAATTGGAAGATCTGCAATCTTTTTTTTTAATGTGTATTATTTTAGTTGAGGGGGACACAATACGTTTATTTTTATTTTCTAAGGATCAAACTCAGGGTCTCCCATGTGCCAGGCAGGTGCTCCACCACTAGCCCCAGCCCCAGCCCTGTTTATTTTTTTTAAAGCATCCAACAAGCTGGGTATGGTGGTACACAYCTGTAATCCCAATGACTAGGAAGGCTAAGGCAGGAGGATCACAAATTTGAGGCCATCCTCAGCAATTTAGTGAGGTCCTAAACAACTTAGTGAGACCCTGTCTTAAAATGAAAAATAAAAAGGAYTTGGGAATGTAGTCAGTGGTAAAGCTCCCCTGGGTTCAATCCCCCCATACCAAAACAAAACCAAATAAAACAAAAATAAAAATTTTAAAAAGCACCAGACAATCTTTCCTCTTGTCTCCAGGACTTTTGAAACCCCCTCTAGTTAAGTAAAACTAGAACTGCTCTAACTTCTTGTTAGTATACAGTGGGTTTTTGAGACTGAACTTGTACTGAGAAACAGGGAGAAACCCTCTTCCAATTAAAATCTTAGTCTTATAATTATATTTAATTTTATTTTAGACAAATGTTGGATTATAGTGCAGACATGGAGAAGCCCAAGAACCAAATCATATACAACCAGTTCTAAAAATGGCAGAGAAATGCCATCAAGAAACCTTGATCACAAAGACATG